AATATAAGTGCAAAGATAGTTTAAAATATGGAAGTTGGAACTCAAAACCCAAGTGGACATTAGCATACACATCACATACTACTTATATACAATATGATGATGTCAAGAAAAATATTAGCAAAGATCACATCAAGGCATGGACAAAGCAATAAGCAAGAATCAAACCAGGTCATACATAAAAGGACTCAAACATTCAAGATATGGAAGGAAAATTAAATGGACAAGCAAACACACTTTGAAACCATGAATCCAGAAGCCAAAATATGTCTTTCAAGACACATACAAGCAACAATCATCAAGAAATTTCACTCAAAGAACATGCCTAAAAAAACTAGGTTAAGATAAACACCAAAACATGTTTAAAAAACCCTACTTTGATGTATCCTTCAAAAATAGAAAAATGACCAAACAAAATTAAACTAAAGGCTTTAACTCATGTTTATGTACTCAAGGATGTGTGTGCAAAAGTTCATCAAAAAATTGGCATAAAAACTCATTCAAAATCAACTAACAAACTCAATGTATCAAAAGAATCGAGACTTAACAAAACCAAACCAAAAGCTATTCAAACAACATCATTAATGGCCAAAAAAAAAAATCAAAACATCCTCTATTCATACATCACATGTTGACAAAAAATCATCATAAAAGACAATTGGAAGGCATTCAAATGAAAAACCCTAAATCAAAGGTGTTTTGGTAAACACACTACACAAAATAATTTAAATAAAATAGTAAAATAAATTCTAAAAATAAATAAAAAAATACCAAAAATAACTCAAGATAGCAAGGTCCTCAAAAATAACTTTTATAGATTTTTAAAGTGTTTTAAATATTAAAAATAAAATACAAAGTAAAAATAATAAAATAAAATAAAATAAAAAAAACAAGGTTGAATGGGGTGTAACCAGCAAATAGAGAAACAAGGGAAAACAAGTTAAATGCGCATATTAGGCTCAACAGGGGGTGTGAATAACATGTTTTTGGCAAGCCTAGTCCATTAAAACATAAACTCAGAAAAACACAAAAGAGGGCACACATGGATGCCACGCGAGCGCTGACTGGGCGATACGTGGACGGTCAAAGGGAAGACTAGTGTTGACACGTAGACATCGGAGCCCTAGCTCCGGTTGTCTTCTCCGGCGGGTCATCGGAGTTGCAGGTTTCAAACCTCACCAAAAATGCTCAAATCTTATACCAATTTCAAGGTTTTTTTGTGTTGAATCCAAAAATCATATTATTTCTCTCGTACAAGGCCTCTAACTTCCCTAAATCAGGCCATGAAAGTTTGTCTACAAAATTAAACATGCACAAAATAGCAAATTTAACCCAAAAATGATTTACATATTAACATGCATTCAAATACATAAAGAAACAAAGGGATTGTATGTGGAAAATAGAAGAAAAGGTTGAAGAAATTTTTACCAAGTGTGATGCTTTACAAGCTCGATTTGTGGTTGAAATGGCTCTTCAAACGATCCTAAGAGCTTCCTTGTGCATGGAGTCAAGAAAATGGATTAAAAGTTCAAGGATGAGAGGATTTAAAATTCTCAAATTTGAGTCAAAATGTCAAGTTGTGTTGCTCAGTTCTTTGGTCTCTCTCGCTCTCCCTATCTCCTCTGTTCTTTTTGGAAATGTGTCTCATATTTATCTCTTGATCATAATGTGTGTTTTTGAGGTTCAAAACTTTGAATTTGTTTTTGGTCAAAACCTTGAAAAAAATCAAATGAGGGTGATGTCTCACAAGCTACTATGATGCAAAGAGTTGGGTAGAATGCTTTTATTTTATTCTAGCAGGATGTGCAACAAGGAATGAAAGGGAAAGCTCTAAGAATGAGCTGCACAATGTTGGTTTTGCATATCCTCATGTTTATGTCATGTTGTGTTTTTTGCATGTCATACAAGTAAGACTTGTTTTGGGTAAGTTTTGGGGATCACATGTGACAGGTTTGGTGCACTAGAAATAAGGCTTGGGATGCTGAAAAGTTTTGGGAAGACTTGGTTCAAAATTGTTTGACATGGTGGAAAGACATGTTCGTGAGGCGAGCTTTGACACATAATATCTCCATGGTTCTTGACTCAAATGAAGAGTTTTGAGTTCGTTGGAAAGTTGGCATGTAATTGAACAACTTTCATGTTTAAAACTTTTTTTTTGAAGCTTGTAACATGATGGAAAATGGGCATGAAAAGTGGTTCAACATTCTGGCCTGGGGTTTGGCACGCGTGGCCTGGTCATGCCTTGGGCAAGCTTTGGCAACTCTTGGCACCCATGTTCATTACACCATATCTTGAGTTATAGAACTCCAATTGAGGAGTTCTTTAGATGCTTGGAAAGTTGAGATGGAGGAGAACGACTTTGATGTTGTACACTTTTAGATTTAAAACTTGGAACAATCAAAAAGAGGGTCTGCAAGTTAAGCAAAAACATGACTTGTAGTGCCTTGACAACTTTGGCAAGTTGTGTAACTTGTGCCCAAAATCCTCAAACTTTGAGACACCATAACTTGAGACTCCTTAACCCAATTGGAGATTTCATTATATGTATGGAAATCTCATATCAAGAGGAATAACTTTCATGTATAAAATTTTTTGATTTGAGGTCAAGAAACCCATGAAGCCCTGGCTTGAAGTTGGTGCAAATATGTTGCCCTAGATTTTGCCAAACTTGACAACTTTTGATCTCAAATTTGAAACATCATAATTTGAGTTATAAGCATGATATTGAGATGTTCTTGGTATCAAAAGAAAGCTGAGAAGATGATCTACAACTATTATGTTGATCGCCAAAGCAAATTATGTTTGGAACATTCTTGAATTTGGCTTTAAAAATCACTCCAAAATGTTGAATTTATAACATAAATTTTTCTAAGTATAGAATTCCAAATCAAGGTTTTTTCTAACTTTGAATCAATATAACTCCAAATCTATCCACCTTTTGATCATGATTCCTTCTACAAACTTGTAATTTAGGATGTCCTATTTGTAGTGATCATAAGTTTGCTCCAAAATTCGCAAGGATGAATGAGATATGATCTTTGAATGATTGCTAGAATTCTTGATTTCCACACTTAGAAATTTTCACATAAAAACCCTTATTCTTCAAATCTCCTGACTTTATTGTTCCAACTTGGTTTTTCTTGATCTAACCACATGGGATCATGGAATAAGACTTGTAAAGCTCATGGTTGATGATAAAACTCGAGAGTTAACTTTTATGGTACCTCAATTGACTTTTGAATCAAATGAAGACAAAACCATTCTTTTCCTCTTGGGAAGCCCTTGAATTGGATTATCTTGAATCAAATGATTTCCTAGTGATCCATGAAGTGTGTGAGGACTTCCTTGATTGGTCCCTCTTCCAAATCTTAATTAATTAGTGCTTTCACCTTTTTGTACAAAATCCTAATTTCACAAACAAAACAAAACCACAAAACTTGATAGTTTAGTTAGTTATGCAAGGATGATTGACTTAGAATGCTCATGCAAATGACAATGACATTTAAAGGGTATGACAACAACCTTCTAAACATCATTTGCATTCACTTCCAATGCAAGTACTTTGTCACTCACGATTTCAGACACACCTTGAAATCTGAAGATGACATTCACTTGCATGATCCACCTCATGTATTTCTCGTCTTTGAAAATGGGTAAGTTCACTGGATATTGCGTTGATATTGTGTTACCGTTTTGCCATTACAAATTCTCTCTAAATCGCAATCAGACTCATTAATACTAATTTGTTGTAACAACTAGGATTTTCAAGAAGAATGAAGAAGAAGAGAAAGAGAGATAAGAGAGAGAAAACTATATTGTGTGAAAAGGAGTTTGTGAAATTGCTACTATTTAATTTACAAAGTTATATATATATATATATATATATATATATATATATATATATATATATATATATATATATATATATATATATATATATATATATATATATATATATATATATATATATATATATATATATATATATATATATATATAAAACATATCATTTACAAACTGCAGTATTCGATGTTGTTGAATTCATACTTATACTTGATATATTCAACTAACTTAACTTAAGCTTAACTATGTCGAATAGAATTTTTCTAAAATACTAAATTATACTAGCTCCGTCTTTTATTATAAGTCGTTTTAAAAAAATATTTTGTATCACAATATAAGTCGTTTTATAATACCAATAAACTATTAATGTTATTTTTTCTATTATACCCTTAAATATTTATTATTCTTTTTCCTTTCAATTATGTAAATTTCTCTTTTTCATACCATAATAGTTTCATTTCTTAATATATATGAAAAGTAAAAAAAACGACTTATAATATGTGTGAAAAGTTAAAAACGACTTATAATAAAAAAACGGAAGAAATATCTTCTATATATATATATATATATATATATATATATATATATATATATATATATATATATATATATATATATATATATATATATATATATATATATATATATATATATATATATATATATATATATATATATATATATATATATATATATATATATATATATATATATATATATATATATATATATATATATATATATATATATATATATATATATATATATATATATATATATATATATATATATATATATATATATATATATATATATATATATATATATATATATATATATATATATATATATATATATATATATATATATATATATATATATATATATATATATATATATATATATAATTTTCTTAGTCCTTAATAGTATCTACCACATGCTTTGAAATCAATGTTAAAATAAAAATCAACATTAATTACACAAGATTGCAAATTAAATAATCTCAAAAGTTGAATATTGGGAAAATAGAAACTCTATACTTTTACTCTTAAAAATTTCCTAAATCATCTTTTTACCATGTCGGGTTGGATCTCGAGCTTCTACCTATAGCAACATATCATAACACAATTTTTTTTTAACAGAATTCACAAATTACCATTTTACACTAAACCGGAAGCATCCGGAAGACCCTGCATCATATCATAATTTCTCGCCGGAGCTTCCGCCGACGAACACCGGCGTTTTCCGGAAACTGTAGCTCGGCAAATCGGACAAGTAACCCGATTTCTAAGCCACAAATCAATACAATCAGCATGAAAGTAATGCTTACAACAACTCAGCTGCCGGAGTTTTTCACCGTCAGTGAACCCCGACAAGCAAACTGGACACTCACCTCCGATCTCCTTCACATGGGCGTCTGTTCTGTACTTTAGATCGAAGATGGAAGCAGCGTCAACTTTGGAGTTGTCATCGGAAGAGACTGAGAGTTCGCGAGGGTTTTGCTCTGTTCGCCGGCGACAAAACGGGAAACCGAAGGCGAATATACAGGTATAGATCAAGGCGGGTATGGTGACGATGGCGATGAGGGCTAGTAGGAATTCGAGAGGGGAGAGATCGACGGAGGGGGGTGGAAAAGGCGGTGGTGGTGTTGTGAGGGTGGCGATTTGTGCGGCGGTTAGTGGCGGTGCTGAGAAAGGTAAAAGTGGTGGATGTGTGGTCGGAGTTGCGTGTTCCATGATGATGAGATTATATGATTAGTAACAACTAAGTGTGGGACTATAATATGTCATGTGATTATGTTTTTTCTTAGGTGAAAAAAGTGGTTGAGAGTGTGTGTTAATGACATATGAAAGTGATTGTTATGGTTTCAGAACTAATAAAATATGGATTAGGTCTTAATTAAAAATATATAAATAGAAATAATAAAATATGGATTAGGTCTTAATATATTTATAAAGACCTATCAATGACAAGGATGTCGTGGCCGTGTGTAAAGGGAGATACTCTTTTATTACTCACGATTGAGAGCGACTTTGCATTAACGCCCCTTTTAGTCCCATCGTGGGAAACATGGGAAAAACACGTCTCGATTAGTGGGCGTTCAGAGTCAACAAACCAAAGTAAGTTTCTTTATAAAGTGGAGATTCAACTGTCCGTTACTATGACTAAGTGGACGGTTATCATTTTCGAGAGACCATAACTCTAGGCACATAAGCCTCTATAAATATCTCATCCCTAGCATGAAGAAGAACAAAGATAAGCACTTTGCTCTTTAAAGGAGAAGGGCGCAAACTAGTCGACCAACTCATTAGAAACGCCAACTTGTTCGCATAGACCCTCTCCAACATGCCACATATAGATACCAGATTAGTATGCCATCACCTCGTTGTCAACCTCATTGCAAGACCAGTGTAACAAAAAAAGCAAAAATTTGGCGAGGAAATGAGAGCCGCCATTGACAAGGAAGTAAGCAAGTAGCTACAGCCAATTTCATCACAGAAACAAAATACCCAACATGGCACATGCATATAGACTTCACCGAACTCAACGTGGCATGTGCCAAAGACCCTTGTCCCTTGTCGAATATTGATCGCCTAATTGATGGGTCGTCGAGCTGCTACATACTAAGCTTTATGGATGCATATCCGTGGTACAATCAGATTAAGATAGATCCCTTTGACGCGCCAAAGACACCGTTCATGTCACACTAAACTAACTACTTATTATAATGTCATGCCCTTCAGCCTCAAGAACATTGGCGCCACATACCAACAACTCATGGATGTCGTATTCTCCCACCAGATAAGGCGGAACTTCGAAGTATACGTAGATGATATGATAGTGAAGACTGCAGAAGGACATAGTCATACAACAGACTTGAATGACGTCCAGTAATTAGTTAAGAAGTACAACATGTGTTTGAATCCCGCCAAGTGTTCCTTCACGGTGCTGGCAGGAAAATTCTTAGGCTTCATGTTGACGAAAAGAGGCATCACGCTAACCCAGATAAGTTTCAAGCGGTCATTGACATGATAAGCCCCACCAATGTCAGAGTGATGCAACAACTAATGGGTCACCTCGGCGCTTTGTCTTGTTTCCTCTTATGTGCGGGCGTGCGACAAAGCTTTTTTGTTCTTTGTCGCCCAGAAAAAGAAGGAGAAGTTTGAGTGGACAGGGGAATTCGATGAGGTATTTTCACGAATAAAGACCTTCCTCACATCCCCGCCTATCCCCACTCGTCCCAAAGAGTGATTGCCTTTACTCCTCTACCTTTAAGTCATAGACCAGTCAATGAGTTTAGTACTTGTTCATGTGACAGATAAGGTAGAGCAATTTGTGTATTTCAAAAGTAAAGTTTTTAAAAATGCCATTGCGCGTTACAATAAGACCAAGAAGCTAGCTATAGTCGTTGTCGTCACGACAAGGAAGCTTTGACGCTATTTTGAAGGTCATAGTGCTTGTGAAAACTAACTACCATATCTAACATGTCCTCAAAAATCCAGGCATGGCAGGAAGAATGGTTTCTTGGGTGGTGGAACTCTCAGAGTATGACATTCAATATGTCCCAAGGGGAAGCATTAAGTCCCAAGCTTTGGTATATTTTTTTAGAGGAACCCATCTCTCAGATGGAGAAAGAAAATCCTTCAGAATGGACGATGTCTGTCAATGGTGCCTCAAACATTAAGAGGAGCGACATAAGGATAGTATTAGAAGGATCAGGCGACATACTAATAAAACAAGAAATAAAGTTCGAATTATAAGCGAGCAATAACCAAGCCGAGTATGAAGCTTTCATCATCAGTATGGTTCTCGCCCTTGAAATGGGTGCCTCCAAGTTGAAGGCAAAAAGTGATTTCCAAATGGTCTCCATTTAAGTCATAGGGGAACACCGGGCCAAAGAACCGCAACTCGTGAAATATCTCCATAAGGTATGAAGTTTATTAACACGATTTTAATCTTTTAAAGTAAAATATGTTCCTAGTGAACAAAATTTCATAGCAAACCATTTGTCCAAACTCGCCACCATAAAGACAACAGGATGCAATTAGACAGTCATACAAGACTCTCGCCGCTCTCAGCATTAATGCAGACAAAAGATATACTCTAGAGATTATCCTTGACCCAAGTTGGATGTCTCCCATACTGTGATATCTACAAAAGGATGAAATCCCTAAAGATGAAGGCGAGGCGAAAAAAAAGTCCGGAAGAATCCTTCCATGTATACTCTCCTAGAAGTAAAACTCTATAAGTTGGGAAGGACCTCTGTAATGTTCTGGTGTCTAGGTGAGCATGAAACCGCACGGGTAATCGTAGAAGTTTAACTAGGGGAATGTATAAGCCACATTGGCAGCAGGGCTCTCGCCCATAAACTACTTAGAGCAGGTTACTATTAGCCCACCTTTTTAAAGGACATTGTGGTGTTTGCCAACAAGTGTGATCGATGTAAAATACACACCTAGCTCAATGACTTCCCAGTTGAAACTCCTTTGTTTGATGACATCGCCCTGACCTTTCTATTAGTAGGAGAGGATATTCTAGGTCAATTTTCCTTGGCGTTAGGGAAACTTAAATTCCTGATTGTGTCGCTCTCGATTCAGACAGGAAGTAAATGATCCAGGGATATAGTGTGTTGTAGGTCTGATCGATGAAGTAAGGGTTATTGCCCATATTCGAGAGTTCTCCACCAAACAAAAAATGGCTAGAAGATACAACTCAAAGGTGATGCCAAGAGAAATTCAGGAAGGTGACCTGGTGATGAAACAAGTGGTATTTTCTGCACAGTAGGAAAAATTTCAACCCAACTGGGAAGTGTTGTATCACATATTCCAAAAGCTGCCACATGGAGCCTATAAGCTGCAATAATTAGATAGGCGACTCGTCCCCAGGACTTGAAATTCCATCCGCCTAAAGAATTATTATAGTTAAATTATTTATGAATTTTTAGAGGGAGAATAGTGTCCGCCTATGTACGTATTTTTGAGCATTTATGATCAAAGAGAGTATTTAGGTTTTTACTTTTATGTACGTGGGATTTAAATATGTTGGGTAACATGAATATCTTGGACTTCTATGGAAAGATCTTTAATGCATCTCAAGGCAACTTGAATATCTTGGACTTCTATATGAACATCTTTTTCCCCTCTCAAGGCAACATGAATACGATGGACTTCCTTGGAAAGATCCTTGCCACATCTCAAGGCAATACAAATATGTTAGAGTTCCACAAGGATATCATTATCACCTTTAAAGGTAATATGAATGGGTTACCTCATCTAACCTCCTTGCCTGAGGGACTCAGAGTCTCCCTAGGAAAGGTCTAGCCTGAGGTCTCACCTAAGGGATTTAACCAAAGTCTGGCCCGAGAGATTTAACTTAAAAGTCTTACCTAAGGGTATCGACCAAATTCTTGCTCTAGAGATTCAATGCCTTGTCTAAGGGACTTGGAGTATCATCAAACGAGCTCAACATATAATCTCACCTGAAGGACTTAGAGTTCTATCAAACAGGTTCATGTAACTGGCTCGCTTGGGGGACTTAGAGTATCCCTTAGAAAGGTCTAACCCAAGGTTTTGCCTAAGGTACTTGACCAAAGTCTAGTCCAGAAGACTTAACTTAAAAGTATTTGCTAAGGGTCTCAACTAAAGTCTTTCTCGAGAGAATCAACGCCTCGTCTGAGGGACTAAGAGTCTCATCAAATTGGATCAACATATAATCTCGCCTGAAGGAATTAGACTCACATCAAACAAACTCATCTAACTGTCTCACCTAAGGGGCTTAGAGTCACCCTAGGCTAGGTCCAGCCCAAGTTCTTGCCTAAGAGACTCGACCAAAGTTTGACCCAATAAACTTAACTCAAAGGTCTTTCCTAAAGGTCTCGACTGAAGTCTAGCCCAAGAGGCCTATATAAATGCATATTCTTGGGGACTTGGAACCTCATCAGACAAGCTTAACATATAATCTCGTCTGAAGGCCTTAAAGTCCCATGGGACAGACACGGTGCATTATCCCACTTAAGGGACTCATGAGCAGTTAAAGCAATTCTCCCTTTATCGAGCCATCGTACTTTAGGGACTATGTAGTGATATATTTATAAAGACTTATCTAGGGCAGGGATGTTGTGGCCGCCCTTAAGGGGCAATTCCCTTCTAGCCTTCACGATTTTGGGTGACCTTGCCTTTAACGCCCTCATCTCACCCCGTTGTGAGAATTGTGAGAAAATACACGTCTCAATTAATGGGAGTTCATAGTCAATAGACTAAAGTGAGTCTCCCTAGGAAGTAGAGATACAACGGTCTACTACTATGATTAAGTGAACGTTATCATTTTCGAGAGACCCTAACTCCAAGCCCATAAGCCTCTATAAATACCTCATCCTTAACAGGAAGAAGGACATCTGATAACAACTCAGAACGTGCGCAAAATATCTTAAAAATACATAATTTCTCACTTCACGTGAGCTTGCTCTATCCATAGACAAAACACCACCAATCAGGGGCTCTCACCACCATGAGTAAGACCTAACCCACAGAAAATTACTAAAGTCTCTGTCCACTCCTATCAGCATAAAGATGTCACGCATTTTGTAAATTTTAACAAGTAAAGTTTTAATTAAGCATATAAAATACTCATTCTTTTTAAGCAAACATATATTAAAAAGAAAGATAATAGAATTAGAATTGCATCGTCACCATATTCGAGTTCAATTGAAGAAAAAAAACTTGATATCACTAAATTA